GTGCACCTTCGGTTTCGATAGTGTGACTTACTTTTAGTTTGTCTTTGGAAGGCTGTGGGTTTGGTTTAGTTAAGTTTGGAAATTCCGCGAGTATATCTTGGAATTTCACTGTTGTTGCTGGAGGAGTTTGAATCAAGTTAAGAGATCTGATGTGACTTTCTTTGCCTTTTGTGTAATACGAAGTTTCTTTTAGTATTAAGCGCCGTTTCTTGGTGTCAACTGGAAGTTCGTATCTCTCTAGAAAGTCCATCCCCAGTATTGCCAGATCTAAGTCGACTACCGTGAAAACCCAAGGGAATTGCCTCTTGAACCCCAAATCTACGGTTAAAGTTTTCTGCCCAAATGTCGCGATTCTAGTTTTATTTGCAGCTTGAAATGTAATTGATGATGTTTCTCGACTAATCTCAGTTTTATTTTGAGGGATGATGCTAAGAGCAGCGTCAGTATCCACCAAGAAATTCAAGCCAGAGTTTCTGTCTCTAACATAAAACAAGCGATTCTTTAGGCGCCCCTCCCCAGACTTCGCGACCTGGGGAAGGGTTACTCGTTTCCCACTGTCTTGGAATTATGCTTAGACCAAGCGCATGGTTGCATGCACTTGGTTGAGTTGACACCAAATTTCCAGTGGTACAAACAAAACTGCCCAGATTGTCTGGACATTTATGACCTGTTTTGTGACTTGGATCGTGGTCGTTGTGGTGACCTGCTACTGTTTCTATGACCCATTTGCATTCTGGTGACAGCCTCAGTGAGACTCTTAACACTCGCAATGAGTCCTTCTATTACGGGGTCTTTTGCTGATTCTACTTTTTGTTGTGCCTGATCCAGTTGGAGGACCTCTTTCCATCATTCTATCGGCTATACGCGCTAAATGAGAAAATGAGGTTTCAGGATCTTGTGCATGCAAACAGTGTTGAACGTAGCATGGGAGAGCTTGTATCCATCCTTGTTTTAGGACTGCTTCACCCACTGTGTTATCACCCACTAAGACTTGGAGGTGACGTAAAAACTGTGACGGCGACCGATCACCTAGTGTTTCACCTTGAAACAGTCTTTGGATTCTTTGACTATCTGATAATGATAAACGGTTCATTATCTCTCGTCTTAAGATGGTGTATGGTTGTGGTGATGGTGGACTTAAAATCAAGTCACGAACTTCTTTGGCGACTGAAGGAGGAAGGATAGAACACAAGTTTCTATAGCGAATGCCTTCAGATTTGATATTGCGTCTCGTGAAATAATGCTCTAGTTGAGCAAACCACAACTCAGGATCATTACGATCAAATTCTGTAAGTCGCGATTTCGTAGTCATAACAGTGTCTATTTCCACTGGTGACAAATCTTCCAGATTATGGGTTTCTATTGAGCCTGGCATGAGGTATGTGACAAATACAGCAATAAAAGTAGCACGAAAAATGGTTACTATAACACGAATAACTTAAGATAATAAAAAAGAACTATTTATATACCCAACTTAGTTTACGGATAATCAGGTCTACATTTACGATTAAGTAAAAAAATGTTAATAACAGAAATGTGGTCAAATTTGTGTTCAAAAAGGGCTCACCAGTCTCATGCCTTAAGGTAACCCTCGTGCTATTGATAGAAGAAACCAGAGAAGTAGTGAATAGGCCTTTATTTCGATCTTCGCGCAGTCACAGTGGAGCGTGAGATTATTTAATTAGACAAACAAAGCCTCTCAACATTCAATATAAGATAATAGTAAATATAACGCTTATACAAAATAAGAAAGTGAATAAATATTTGAACTATATTGTTTTGGCATATGCTTGGTTGTTTGAGGTGAACTCTTAACCAACCAACCCAAGCTGTTACACATGTACACGCCATTTTTACAGGCATGATCTACATATTACAACATTCGTTGGCGCACAGCATACTTCCGAACTTATTAAGTTTATAGTTGTTATTAAGTGGACTCGTAGAGCGCTTGCCGTAAACCATCACCTTGAGGAGGCGCGTACGTCAAGTTTGTTCCAGACGTCAGAAGTTCCCTAGCTGTACCCTCAGAGCGAAATTCGGAAGAAAAAAATGGAAGGGAAACAAAAGGGCAGCAAGGCACTTGGAAATGAACGCCAAACGTTGCTTAACATTTTGTAACAGAACAGACAGAGGTATGATAAATTAGAATAAACTCATATTATCTCTCGTTAGAGTGAAATGAAGTCGGAGTATCCATATAAGAGAATGTAGTAATAAAGAACAATGATTTGAGATGTTTAACAAGTTGGAGTAAGCTCACATGAAGGAAGAGAAGTCAAGGTTGGTACAAGGAGAGAGGTTTATTAGAAGGGAGTGTGCATATAGAGGGTGAAGTGCTAAGAATACTAATAACTATATATTTTATTGTCTAATTTTTTCTTTCTTTTCTTTTTTTGTTCACCTGCTACCAGCCACGTAATCCTAGTGTAAAAGTCCGAGTTAGCATTTTATAGGTTGTCTTAGTAGAATAGCTAATCCAGCATAAAGCTGGAAACATGAGTCTGAATGATGAGCGTAGGAGAACAACCTTAATATCACAGATTGAGTGGCTCGTTCCTCAACCATAAAGAGCCTGATACAAGCAAAATATTCCGCCCTACAAACACGGGTGGATTGAAGTCATTGCCCTCACCATCAATGCTCGCTGGTCGGTAACTCCATCCCCCCTCCTTTTGTGGTGTTAGGCTCATTTAAGCTTATTTTTTGGATATATATCATGCCTCACACAACGCTCTGTGTTTCATATCCTGTTGGAAAACAATATTTCTATAGGTACCATTTTACAAGCTTATCATGCAGTTACAAATTATGGACTGTGGGTAGGGTTTCCATACAATGCTTTAATTGACTATAGCATAAAGTGTAGTTTGCCAATCAGAGTATAATCATTAAGGAGGGTATAATGTAGGATAGTTGTTTATTAAAGCAGTCGGTAAAGCATGGAAGTATATGAGTTGTAGATAAGTTAACGAGTGGAGAAGTGATATTAATTGCTAGTCAACATAACGTACAGAACAGTAAAAAGTTAATAAAGATAAACAGAAAGATACACATTAACTTGGTGCTGATGTTATTTTGTGTTGTCGTAACCAGTTGATGGGTAAAAGGCTCCATAGATGCAAGACCACTGGCAGTAGGCAGTCGATTGTGCGGTCCTCTTGACTTTTTAGGGTGGTAGTGAGTGTCCCTTAGCAACCGAGTTTAGTTGAGCAGCATCAATAGGTTCAATGAGCTGCCTGTCTACTTCAAGTGAAGAGATAGGGTGGAAAAAGTAACTAATGCAACTGCAAAGTAGGAAAAATAAGGCAATCTGAACTTGATGTCTATTTTCGTCTAGACATGGAGGGAGCCTATGATTTCCGAGTGGGGTGCAGATGTGTTCGTACGTGCTAGATCAGTACAAGTGAGTGCTTGATCAAGCGGTTTTACAAACGTATGTAATTCATCCGCCATGCGTATGTCGGAGGAAAGACTGTTCCATATTATTGCATACTTGATGAGCAAGAAGTTTTCCCAAGTTTTTGATCTGTATTTCTCAACTTTGACGGTAGATACTTAGTTTCGAAGTTCGTATTCATGTGAATCGCGAGCAAGATAGTACTTCCATGTTGAAAGAGTAAGTTTGAAGATGCCACAGGTATTTGGAGTTTGACAACGCTTCAACCAGTAACACCTTCTAACATGAATCGTATCCGCCATTTGAATTCAGAAGCGAGCAGGTTCGAAGAAATATTCGATAGACTATCAGTATATCGTGAATCGATTTATCTAATCTGACTAGCGATTGGAGTGGATGTTGAGCACGGCGTTCCAACTCGTGGTCTGGTGCGGATGCATGACTGAGTACCTTCGGCTAGGCGAGTCCATTAAAACTAATGTGGTTAGCTATTTATTTCGGGGATTTATTTACCGCTACAATTTCATTTGATTAACAAAAATTCCTCTGCACGTGGTGGGATCAACAGCTTGATAAGAAGATTTAATCCGATAGTATTATTTAATGCTGAATTGGCCAAAACTCCAACGTAGTGTGGGAAGTCTCAAAAGGTTGTTATAGCACTATTATAATCTTCAATCAAATGTCGTGGTCAATAAAACAGAAGAACAGACGGTGAAAATAACGCTTTTATCTTAACGATCGCGGTAGTGTGTATATATAACCAAACAATTATAACCGTTCCTTTACCATTGTTACGCAGGAATAATAGATAATGAAAATAAATATGATCACATATAAAGTTATACAAACGGGAAAATTGTTGTTTTTCATTTGTCATTACAAAAATCACTGGATATGCATATCACAACAGAGGCAGGCATCATAATTAAGAGCATTCCAATTAATGTGCAAGTAGAACTGGGCGATCACATGTGAACGTTTTATATTTGGTGGTCGTAATAAGCGCGCAATCAGGTACAAAGAAATCACCATTAATACATAGGCCACAAATATCTGCAGATTGGCGAATATCAGACAGCAGCCAGACTGTGTTGAAGATGCCACAGCTATTTGGAGTTTGACAACGCTTCAACCAGCAACACCTTCTAACATGAATCGTATCCGTCAAGTGTAAAAAACGTCAGTAGCGAGGAGGTTCGAGGAAATATTCGATAGACTATCAATATATCGAGGATCGTCTGATCTAATCAGGCTTGCGATTGCGGGAGATGTTGAGCACAGAGTTCCAACTCGTGATCTGGTGCGGATGCATCACCGAGCGCCTTCAGCTAGGTGAGTCCATTAAAACCAATGTGGTTAGCATACAATGTCGAAAACTTACAGAGCTATTCATTTTGGGGAATTATTTATCACTAAAGACTCTGTCTCTCAGAAACAATTCAATATGGTTGGTGCTTCCGGTTATATTTGTTTTGAATCTACTTTTTCACCAAAATACACACATTCTTGTTATACTACGTTATTATTATTCAAGGGATCAAAGACGACCCTGAGTCTATATAAACTTTATAAGCTGTTTCTGTGCAGTCATTCGAATATGGCCTCTTTAAGCTGTGGCTACAAGTGTCTGCAGATTTTTCTAGTGGTATTTAATGTCCTTGTTTGTGTAAGTTGGATGAAATTTGACGAAATATGTTTTTTCTGACAGACATGTGGGATTGTTGCAGTTGTAATTGGAAGTCTCTCCCAAGTTGCTATTAATAAATATTCCACTGGAGTGGATTCAAATATCAAATGTCTCGTAATCTTTGTAATAGCACTTGGATGCTTCCTAGTTGTGTTTGGATTTCTTGGGTTTTTTGGATTGGTTACCAAGAATACTTTCTGTTTAATCTTGGTAAGTTGCTATATACACTAATTTTAAAAACAAAGTACACCTCTCTACTGTCAACCGTTGTGCTGATCGAAATAGCGGGAGGAGTAGTGGCAGCTGTGCTAAGAAAAGACGTAAAAGCTCAATTCCAATCTCTGATTAAAAGCTCCGTTTCTGAATATAGCAAGAATCCGGACTTGAAGAAACTCTTAGATAAGATACAAACAGAGGTACACCATTACAAAACGTAGTTTATTTTGCAGTTTCATTGTTGCGGCTCTGAATCGCCAAAGGACTACATATCGACTAAGCAAACCATCCCTGATTCATGTAAAAATCCAGAAACTAAGATTATATACTTAGATGTAAGTTGAAATAAATTTTGTTTTGCTGTTAAAATATTTTATTAGGTTTTGTATTTTTCCAAAAACCCATGAGATGTGATGTGGGAGTAGGATCGGATGCTCTACTATACCAATTGGTATTATTACATCTCTTGTATTAGCTATTTGCATGGTGTTTAAACCTATAAAATGTGTTGAAATAATAACGAGCAACGGAAAAGTGAAAACTACAATCTTTGTGCATGAGTGAAAGCTAATCTATCAAATCCCAATGATGAACTGTTTTGAATGTTTGTACAAGCTTGGAATCTCGATTAAATACTTTACGAAATGCCTATTAACAGTCAATTTTAAAGTATTACTATCTTCAGCCAACGTGACTACTCAGGACTTACTGTTTCCTGGAGTTGTGAACATGATCTTCTGTTTGCTTTCTTCAGTGATACGAATAGGATAGGAGGTTTTTTGACCTACGCCGCGAGATTTCAGACTCAGGAAGTACCTTAGGATGATTGCAGTTAAATAAACCTAATCCTAAAGTAACTGCTAATTTACACAGAACCACATGAAGATTGCAAATATCTACGCAACTTTTGGGATATTCGACCTATCACTAATGTGTAGATATTAGAACCATCACCAATTAATTTTAAAACACGTTAAAAATCTTTGATATTCGGCTTTGTTTACAGTTTGGAAATTTTTTTAATACTCAGGTGCTAAGAGTAATCACTTCATTATACTTTCAGGATCACATTTCAAAATTCAAACAATTCAAGCCACATCTAAATCTGATGGTTCATATTTATACGTCAAGACGTTGGGCCTAATATCGTCCGTAAACTTGATGAGCATTGCACACTGACTTTGTGTGGTGGGGTAACATTAGAGATCATAGTTGTAGAGATCTGCTTTTTAAGTGAATCATGTCTGATCACATCCCTACTAAGTGGTATTGTTACTTGAGTCAGCATTTAATAAAGAATAATGATTGCACACTGGATACAATTATTAGTACGACGACAAATATGTTTGACCGTTATTAGTGTGGTTCAACTCACGCTTTTACTTTTCACAGTAGTGGATAGATAATCTTGACCATTGAGGTTCGCATTTGTCTGAAGAGCACATCAAATCACAAATGTTTTCCTTGCTTGCTTGCTACTAGAGTACGCTGTTTCTGGGTGAGGCATGGTATAAACATAGGTGATTATTCAAACTGATGACCAACACTCTGAGTCAGCCATGGATACCGCACACTATCTCCGGTCATTTTGAAAACGCAGACCATGTTTCCAGGATACCACCTACCCGACGTTAAAAGATTTTGACCTCTAACATCAGAAATAGGGCAATTATTTCCTGAAACTTAATCTCTATTTTAGTCGAACGTAATAATGTTCTTTTTAATTTCAGGGTTGTTCATGCAAAGTAATCGCCTTCTTTGAAAAGTATATCATTGCCGTTTTAGTAGCGGTATTTGTATTTGCCGTCCTCCAATTGTCGTGTATTGTTTTTGCTATCTGTGTTATTCGAGCTATCAAATCTGGCGATTACGGACAAGACTAGATTATTTAAGGTTGTGAACGCTATATTTGATTTTTTGACAGCTTTCAACTTGGCATAATTAAACTCTTTTCCTTGTTTTTTATTTCACTGTCATTTATTGAACAAAGAATGGAGTCTTGTATTTTGTTCAATAAACATTCTAAACAATTATGAATAACCCAAAGTTACTGTAATTAAGATTATAATATTGACGGAAAATATTAAATCTAAACAATGTTTTCGAGACTTATCTTTTCACTTGCCTTTATTGATTGTTTAAATGAATTAAACTGACACGCTGCTTCTTACCAAATGTGGAGTCATGTCAGCAAAGTGTATAGACACTTCACATTCTACTACTTCTGTAACTTCACATTTGACAAACAATAAACATAAATTAGAAGGATCCGAACTAGTTCTAAATAAAACAACTTATTGACAAATAGTGTTACGATAATGTCAATAATTTTGATTATTTTACTCATTAAAACTCCGATCATCTTAAAGATTTGGAACTCACTCGAATAGCTAAGAATTAGGACTGAAACACTGGAATATATCAAATAAACAGGTTTGGATAGAGTGAGAGAAAACAGTGTCCGTAATTTAAAACCACTCTACTTGTATTACGAGATAAATGCACGTCTGTGTATGAGACCAAATATCTGGTGTTTGGTCACCAGTGGACGAGCACTGCTGAGGAGTCACATGTCTGTACGAAACAGATACCGAGTGCTTACTGATTTTCAATAGTTATTTAACTACAATAAATCTGTAATGATGGTCATGAAAAAGCCCCTGTTTATGAATCCAAGTGCTGTGTTCCTATTTCTTTTGCTTCAGAGAAAAACATGGTGAGCGGCGGTAGTATACTGCCATTTGATGCACATTTTGCTAATAGTATTCAACAGTGCAAATCTCAACCATCACGACTCCTAAACCTCCTTTATCCAATTACCCGTGAGAGCGAGTTCAAATATGAGAGATTGCAAACTAAATTCAGACTAAATCACTAGATGACATGACTGTAATTACAGCGAATCAATAGGACAAAATTTATGTTTATGAAATGGATTTGAAAGATTTGGGTTTTGTTCGAGTTAACCGTCATTTAATCGTCATTTATCCTTTTCTCTCTGGGTGTCGGGGTCTATTCAACTTCCTTTGAAAATACGAACAGTATGTTTATTTCAATTAATTGACAATCAAAGTTTAACATGATTACAAAAATGGATTCGATCTGTGGCACTTCGTTTTAATGAAATTATGTCGGTCTTTCAAAGCAACATATTAACAGAAATAGTACGTAATGGGTATATTTAACTATATAAGTATACGAATGTTGTCACAGTATGAAATTCTTGCGAATCAATGCTTAACCGCCTATATTTTTTAAAATTTAGAATAATGAAACCACCTGTAACAACCTCAATTAAAACATGAAAAACCGACGACTGATTGAACATTCGTTTTAAGAATAGGCAGTGTATAAGAATCTACTGTTGGTGAAAGCTGTTTATTACGGAACAGAGTATAACATAATATTGGATCACTGAGAGTGGTAGTCACATAGGGCTCGACCATCACTACAAGATTGCAGAAACATGATAGCGGTTACTTAAGAACGGTCAATCAATGTTGATATCTTAGTCCTAGAGGAGAAAACCAGTAGTCCAAACAGCCTCGAAGAAGTCTCTGACTCGGACACTGGATAGAGTAAGTTTGAGTTGAATCATGTGTGAAGATTTCGACAAAGATTTATAGGGAAGCTTGCTGGTTAGTTCAAACTAAATAAAGATATGTAGATTTACAGCCTGTTGCTCAAGTCTTAAACTTAATAACGGGTCATGTAGGAGAGCACTGAAATGCCTAAATATCATATTTTGATCACTTCTCAGTGGTCTTGAGCTCCCTTTGTATGAATGGCTAGCGGATAACTGTTGACAGTCATTCTGTGACTAACAATCTGGAACCTGGAACAAATGCACGTCAGATGCTAGTGTGAGCATGGAGACAGGAAATTACCAATATATGTGTGTTAATAGGTTATTGTTTATAAATCTATTCGATTCGGAATAACACCTGACTGCGTCGCAATGCAAGCCATCTCTTGGAATCCTCAACGCTGAATAAAGAGAAGAGGAAGACCAAAGAGAATGCTGGTCGGTGGACTATGCTCCATCTGGAGTAACAGGCGTAAGTAAGTAAGTGAGTAATCTCATAATCTTTTCCTTGAATTTGATTTATTCATTCAAATATATAACTATAGAAAATGAAGAAAATTTCTTGAAATGAATATTCTTCATTCATAAGATCAACATTTCAACCATAGTGAAATATACTACGATAAACATTGAAATACTGTTCATCATTAATAATGAGATGATAATAGATTATTATGAATAATTCTAATTATATCATAGTTCATCTCATTATATACTAATTACATCGTAAAAATACATTAAAGAAGAAATAATAATAATAATAATAATAATAATAAATTGGAATTACATAATGATGATATTAGATTATTTGAAGGGGTAAGTGAAATATTTAGTTTATAATGAGTGTGAATGAACTTGGACGAAGTTTTCTTTCTGTTTTCTTTCTCTTTTTTGTTGTGGCTATTGTTATTTTTAGTCTTTTGAAATTTTTCCGTTTAAATATTTTATAGACAATAAGATAAATCGGTAATTATTGACACAGAATTCTTTGACATTGATCCAATTAGTGATTAGACAAATTCTATATTGTATCCATTCTACACATTCCACAATATATCAAGGTTACTAATCTATGAAAGAAATCAATGATGAGCATAAATCAAATATATAAGTATAAAATTATTATGGAAGTTAATGAGAATAAAGTAAAGTATGATTTGACATTTCATATTATATGGTCGACCATAAAGTAAAGAAAAAGAACAGAAAAGACACAGTGAATTGGTTGAAATCAACTTGAGGAATTATTGCATATATCTACCATTGTATATCAGAATGTGTAAGAAACAATCAGTAGAATGTCAGTACAAATGGTTGAAGAGATTTTTAATTGTGTCTAATTCATTAAATTTGGTAAGTGTTTTGTTGTCATAAACATCATGCATAGTGTCTAATTATTGTTTATTTATTTCAATGGTTGACATCATGAGTCAGTTGAAACTAGGCCACCATGGAACACCTGGAAGTACTGGAAGGCCGTTTCGTCCTATTTTGGAACTCCTCAGCAGTGCGCTTCCACGATCGATGTTCGAAACCAGGACCTATCAGTCTCGTACGCGAGTGCTTAACCATTAGACCAATGAGACGCCCGGCATCCAACGGTGTTAGTGTCTA